CCATAAATAGAATGAAATAATGCCATTTGCAGCAACATGGGTGGACCTGGAGACTGTCATACTAAATGAAGCTAGAAAGAGAAAGAAAAACAACATATGATATCACTTACAGTGGAATCCAGAAAATTACACAAAAGAACTTATTTACAAAACAGACTCACAGACACAGAAAACAAACTTATGGTTACCAGGAGAGAAAGAGAAGGTGGAAGGATAAATTGGGAGTTCAGGATTTGTAGATACAAATTACTATATATAAAATAGATTTAAACAGCAAGGTCCTACTGTATAGCACAGGGAACTACATTTGATACTTTGCAATGGCCTATAGTGAAAAAGAATATGAAAAGGAATATATGTACATAAAACTGAATCACTATGCTGTACACCAGAAGTTAACACAACATTGTAAAAAACCAACTATACTTCAGTTAAAAAAAAAGACAATGACTTTAACGATAAAAATAAATGCCTTCTTCACCAAGGCATCTATTGCCCTGTGAATACGTACACACAGCAGCGATAGATTAGATGAAGAATTTAGAAATGTGCCCAATATGGTTAACTTAAAACACCGTAGTATCTACTCCACCAGCTTTCCAGATCTTAATACCCACTTTAGTTTTTCAATCTTATTTATCAAGGAGAAACTCAAACATATACAAAAACAGAGTAGCATGAGGAACCTCCATTTACCCATCACCCAGCCTCAATGACCTTCAAATGTTGGCCAATCATTTGATGCCGTACACACACTCCCAACCACCTTAACCCTTCAATATTAAATTGAAGCAAATCCCAGATGTCATAACATTTCATCCACAGATGTTTCAGTATGAATCTCTAAAAGATAAGGACCCTTCTTTTCTTAAACATAACCATACTACCATTATCACATCTGAAAAAAAAGAATTAAGTCCTCAGTATTGTCAAATATACTAGTAGTGTTCAGACTTCCAAATGCCTTATAAATGTCATAATTTTTATTGCTGATTTTAAAATCAGGTTTCAAATAAGGTAGTTACACGGTAGTTGCTGCTTTGTCTTTCATGTTGCTTCATATTGTGAGGGTCCTCCTCCGTCTCTTTTTTTCTTCAAATTTATTTCATAAAGCAAATTAGGTTTTAAAATAAAAAACTATAGGAAATAACAACAACAAAAAAATAAAAATAAAATAACAAGTGTGGATGAGGGTGTGTAGAAACCAGAGCCTCACACACATAAAATGGTGCAGCCACTTTGGAGAACAGTCTGGCTGTTCTGTTCCCCAAAAGGTCAAATACAGAGTTACCATAGTCCTCAGCATCTACACTCCTAGATACACGTATCCACAAGGAAAGACAGGACTACACGAACTTGTACATAAATGCTTGTAACATTATTTACAATGGCTAAAACATTTT